GGAGGACACAAGCAAGAGATTGGATTTCCCAAAATAGTAACCTAAATGCTGTGTATTATTATCAACAGTTTTCATCAATATGTTATATCACTGTCTTTACGTAAAGATCTTTAGGATAAAATATTCTTACAATATTAAGAGTCTTACTGTACAAGTTTGTTTCCCTGGGCAACATTTAAAATGAGCATGTCGTAGTCAGTTTTTTTGAGCATTTAGGGTCACTGACACATAGCTAGTAAAAAACACAATCTGGAAATACTTATCAGTCAAGAGACTGGTTTCTTAATATACCTAAAACAGTGCATTACTTCAAGATTAAAACAAAGCAAGTAACATTTCTTTCTTCAAATCAGAAGCAGTAGCTAAGTTACTTTCATCTGATGTCATTATCGGGTTTTTTATATTTGTTTGAAAATCTATAGAGATGTATTTAATCACTGTATTTTTAGAGGTTTTCAGAAATTCCACAATGTGATTTTTTTTAAATAGTTTGCGAATTTAAGTTCAACGCTCAAAAACAAATTCTGCACTACTGTATTTTAAAACAAATTTTGCACTATTAAAATGTTCCGATAAATAATAACCTTGCTCACTGTCTATTATTGAATCACCAGCCTCAAAATGAGTATAGCCACCATTTTAAGTGATAGAAAGGTTTTGCTGTCAGTTCTGTAATCATCTCTGTGGAAATGCTGTTTTGTAATTTCTTAGAACAATACTTGTCAGTGAATCACATATCCCTATGCTTCCTACAGAGACAGGACACAGCAGAAAGGCTATTCCTCCCCCAAAGATCCTCTCTTATGGAAGCAAATCACTGTCATAAAAAGCTGTGCTGCATAAGAACTTTAGGCCTTGGCTACACTTGCGGATTTACAGCACTGCCCCGGCAGCGCTGTGAAGCGCAAGTGTAGTCGCGCCGCCAGCACTGCGAGAGCTCTCTCGCAGCGCTGCAAGTACTCCACCTCTCCGAGGGGAATAGCTTGCAGAGCTGTGAGCGAGCGTGCAGCGCTGCAGGCACTGATTACACTGGCGCTTTACAGCGCTGCGCTCGGGGGGGGTGTTTTTTCACACCCCTGAGCGCAGCAAGTGCAGTGCTGTGAATTGCCAGTGTAGCCAAGGCCTTAGTCATATAAAACCAAGGCCTTAGAAATACCTAATAGAGATTAGATAAACTAGGCTACACAGATATAAAAATATTATGGCAGCATCACCTCATACAGGGGAATCAATATGTCAAGCAATGGGAACTAGATTATTTCATATTTACTTCAACAATTTATTATTATATTTATATGAACAACAGGCATCTATTCAACGCTCTAGCACCCCTGCCATAAATTACAAGAACAAATTACATTGATCTGTGACCAATATAAATGAACTACTCACATGTCACTATATCTCTATTGAAGGAAACAAAGAAATCCAAGAGACAAGACAGTGTTGAAGTGTGTATAAAAAGAAGGGAGGAGAAGGGAGGAGAGAAGCTAATTATAAATGATGTTAAATGATGTGTTTCAGAAAAAACAGTAACACAACTAGTCACTAGCTTTACTGCTCACTCCTAAAACACAGAGTATATTTTCCAACAAACAATTTCTGTTTCTTTTGTAATGCTATTCAGAGGCCTGAATAGTATTAACAGTATTGCATTTGTAACTGGGTGACATCAGCTACTGGCAGCAACAGGACTGGAGAAAAAGAAAAAAAAATCAAGTAGCCTTGAATTGTATTATCTGGTTCACTCTATGTAGAGCCAGTGGTAATGATCCTTAATAAAGAGTTACTGACACTCAAATGGTTCAATTTAACCAAAGCACAGAAAGTTGAGGGCTTTATGTAGAAACAAAAGTTGAAGAATTTTATTTCTAGAACAGGATCTGTAGATGTGAAACCATAAATAAAATACAAATTGTTCTTTATATAGCACCTTTCATCTGAGGCTTTCAAAATGGGTTACGATCATTGACCAATATTGACAACATGCCTAAGAGATGAGTATATTTAAAATACCTCTTTATAGAATACTGCAACAAGAGTAGCTACTTCAAATACACAATTTTTTTTTAGATTCAACTTTAAAAAAATTATGCCCATATAAAAGCATCATGACAATAATTAGATTTACAACACTAAATACACAAGTAAGTTAACTCTGCCAGCCAGCAGCCTTAGATAAATAAAGATAAATAATAATCTACTAGCTGAGATAAATTATTATTTGTATTACTGTGGTGCCTAGAATAAAAGTGGGGAAAAATCCAAAAAAGTCATTTAACCCTAATTTATAGCTAGTAACATACCCTTAACTTTACCCCACAAATGGTTTTGCAGCATTTCTGAAGGTAATCAAATTCAGGGTATTTCCAAAGGGTGTTTTTTTTCCCATCCTAAGTCCAGTGAGTCACTCAGTAACACACAGGTTTTCTATGAAAAATCCTTGTCAGATTTATCAAAAATACCTCCGAAACCAAGACAAAGAGCAATGTGCATTTGACTCCATATAATGGAGGACTGATTTCAAGAAAAGATTAAAAGTTGCATTCAAAGTGTAATTTTAACAAAGTATAATTTGAAACAGACCAGGTAATTCATGAAAAACAGGGTTTCTAATAGAAATTCTTACAGTATCACTATTAATGCCATAATACAACTTTGCAGCGAAGAAGACTGTTGCAAAACTTGGTGAAGTCTGAATCTCTTTTGCACCAGATCTGCCCACAAGCAGAGCCACAACAGAATTTAAAACAACTTTATTTTCTATCAGTAAATATATAATCTCTAATCATATGATTGAAAGGTACTTTGAATGCATGAATGAACTCATTGATTAGGAGCTTAAAGTCATGCCATCTGGCATGTTTGCAGCTACCACTAAAATTTACAATGAAGTTTAACATTTGACTGAAAGCATTACAGTAATTTGAGCATTCTTAATATACATATTATATATAATGGCAGAGAATACTTCGATGGGTTCTTATAGAATTTTCTTTTCTTAAAACAAAACCCACACTTCAGAGGCTGAAATGCTTGTAATAACTAATAGCTGAATGTTCAAGCTCTTGCATGGGTGCAATTTGTAAAGTTGCATGTAAAAAAGCCAAAAATGGCCAAGAACTTAAAAAATTGATGGTAGCAGACCACGAAACCTAGAGATGATTCAACCTGGTGATATTCTGAATAAAAACTGGGTAATTATCCCAGTGATAACTGAACCTGGTGATAATCTAAACAAAAGGCGCTCTCAAGCATACTTGAAGCTGTTTTCATTGCTTCCCACTGACCTAACATAATTTAAAGCCTTGACCTACATTAAACTTTTCTAGGGAATCTCCCAAGAAGCAGTAGCAACAGTGGGAGCCCTAGTGTAGATAGGACACTTGCATTCTTACACTGCATTATCTAGTACTATCCTGAGCAGGATTATATGATATAGTGATAAAAATGTAGGTAGCTACATACAAAACACAACATTGTAATTACACCAATGGTAGTGGAAAATTTCCCCCCCACAAAAGGATGGCAATAGAGTAGACACCGCATCAGAGGGTAAACAATTTTCCCCAAGTCATGTAGCAAGTCAACAGCAAAAACAGAAACAAAATGCAGACCTTCTGATTCAGTCTCATGCTCTAGGCTACTCAGTTGTATTCCCCCTAAAAGAAAGTGTAAAATAAAGCAACCCCCCCTAATTAACTTCTTTCAGCAAGTGCCAAGAATAAAACATTCTATTGAGAAAAATTTACCAAGAATCTGTAAATGGAATCAGCTTTGACAGTCTAGCCACAGTAAGAGGCCACATTACTGCATTAGTTAGTTTCTAAATAATAACTAATCTGCATTAGTATTTCTAATTAATTAATGCACCTTAGCCATACTTATCTGTTAATACGTTAGCAATCTGCATTTTGAATCATCAACAGAGGAAAGGGTGTTAAAAAACTCAAAGAGTAACTACTCCTCCCACACACACACCTCTTGGAAGCCCTACTTGAGACCATTATAAGAGAACAGGTTTACGAAATGCTCCTTCCAATGTAGTACAACTCTCCCGCCTCCCTCCACAAATGGGAAGGAAGTCCCATTGCTCCCTGTTCCATGTCTTTCCCAGCAATCGTCATTTCCATAGCAGGGCTGGAGAAAACTCATCCTTGAGCCTGTAGGGATTTATCCCAGTCACACAACTGGGGATTCCATGGGTGTCACTCAGAAAAGAAACAGACCCATCGTTTTCGGTTAACAAGGACGTGGTGGTGAATAAAGGGGGACCAGGAGGATGAAAGTGACTGGGGTGGGGGGTGAAAGACCAGGGAGAAGGCGGTGACTGGGTTAGAGGTGGAGGTGACCGGAGGCGGGGTGGAGCTGACTGGGGGCAGTTGGGGGCTTACGGGAACAGGGAGCTGGAGGGAGCGGGGGACTGAAGAGGGCGGGAAAGGACGAGGGAGCGAGATAGAGGAGACGGGGAGAGCTGAAGAACTGAGGACCAAGGGGCTGAAAGAGGAGGGCAGGAGGGGGCTGAAGGACCGGGAGGATGGAGGGCGGGGTCCGGAGACCGTTGGTTGGAGGACGGGCGGGGGAGATGGAGATGACCGAGGACGGGGGTCAGGACGGGGCGGGGATCACGGTGAACGGGGGAATCATGGGGAGCGGTGATCACCCCGGGCCCCTCTTACCCGCTCCGGGGCGGGGTTCCCTCCTTGCCGGCGCTTCCGGCCGCCTCCGCTAGTTAAACAAAAGCCTCCGCAGCTCCCCGGGAGCAGGGTCGCAACCCGCGGGCAAGCAGAGAGGCAGGAAGAAGGTGGTGACCGCTGCTCTGCGTCATAACATAGCGACCGAACGCTCCCTCAGGCCAACCCGGGGCCTACAAATCCCGGCATGCAACGGGCGAGGCTCGCGATGGAGACTACGACTCCCAGCGCGCACTTGAGGCCGAGTGGCAGCCTGGGGCTCGTAGTCTCGCCCGGGAGACTCCGCTCGGCGCTGGACTCGGCTGGGACGGGGGGCGGGGCTCAAAGTTTGAGGCTGTCGCCGAGCGGAGGGAGTAGAGGGGCTGTGGCTGCGGGCTGGCCCGGGCCGGGAGGCCGTTACACTGGCAGCGGGGGAGGAGCTGGTGGGCCCCCTCCCTGGTTTTCGCTCCCGCAGCCCCGCCCGGCCCCGGCCGCGCTGAGGTGAGAGGAGAAGGAGAAGGAGGGAGTTACGGGGGCGCGGTGAGCGGGGGCAGTAGGGAGCTGTACTCCGGGTGGGGCCTGCCTGTGGCGGTCCTGAGGCTAGTACCGACTACACTATAGCCGGCGGGGGAGTAGGTGGTGCTGGCTCCGCGCGGGGGGCGTAGCAGGACGGGCGGTGCTGGGTCCGCTGGGTGGGTGGCGGGTAGAGTGACCAGATGTCCCGATATTTAACCCTTTGTCCCAGTCGATGCACGATCGGGACCCAATTTGTCCTGATATTCAGGTAAGGAGGTGATCGGGAGGGAGGCGCTGACTCTGTGGGTGATCCGGGGCAGCCAAGCTCCCCTCCCCCAGTGCGCTGTGTCCCTGCTCCTCGCCCTCCCAGCTTCTGCTGCCTAACAGCTGTTTGGTGGCATGTGGGACTTTCTGAGAGGGAGGGGAAGGAACACGGAGCGGGGACACAGCACGCTCAGGGGAGGAGGTGAAGAAGAGTCGGGGCAGGGACTTGGGGAAAGGAGTGGAATGGGGGTGGGACAAGGACAGTATAGGGGCGGGAGACAGGTGAGCACCTACCAGGCAGAGGGGAAGTCAGTGCCGTAGAGCAAGCGGCGAGTCAGTGATGGGTATAAACTGTTCAGGAAGGACAGGTGGGGGAGAAAAGGTGGAGGAGTTGCACTGTATGTAAGGGAGCAGCTCAGAGCTCCAGTATGAAACTGGAGAAAAGCCTGTTGAGTCTTTGGGTTAAGTTTAGAGGCAAGAGCAACAAGGGTGATGTTGTGGTGGGCATCTGCTATAGACAACCAGACCAGGAGGATGAGGTAGATGAGGCTTTCTTTGGTAACTAACAGAAGTTTCCAGATCACAGGCCCTGGTTCTCCTGGGGGACTTCAATCACCCTGATCTAATGGGAGAGTGATATAGCAGTGCACAGACAATCCAGGAAGTTTTTGGAGAGTGTTGGGAACAACTTCCTAGTGCAAGTGTTGGAGGAACCAACTAGATGCCATGCTCCTCTTAACCTGCTGCTCGCAAACAGGGAAGAATTGGTAGGGGAAGTAGAAGTGGGTGGCAACCTGGGCAGCAGGTTGGTCAAGGTTGGGAAGCCAGACTGGATGGTCAATATCAGGATCCTGACAAAAGGAAGAAAGGAGAGCAGCAGAATACAGACCCTGGACTTCAGAAAAGCAGACTTTGACTCCCTCAGGGAATTGATGGGCAGGATCTCCTGGGAGGCTAATATGAGGGGGAAAGGAGTCTAGGAGAGCTGGCTGTATTTTAAAGAAGCCTTATTGAGGGCGCAGGGACAAACCATCCCAATGTGCAGAAAGAATAGCAAATATGGCAGGCGACCAGCTTGGCTTAATAGAGAAATCTTCGGGAAGCTTAAACACAAAAAGGAAGCTTACAAGAAGTGGAAACTTGGACTGATGACTAGGGAGGAGTATAAAAATATTGCTCAAGTATGCAGGGGTGTAATCAGGAAGGCCAAAGCACAATTGGAGTTGCAGCTAGCAAGGGATGTGAAGGGTAACAAGAAGGGTTTCTACAGGTATGTTAGCAACAAGAAGAAGGTCAGGCAAAGTGTGACCCTTACTGAATGGGGGAGGCAACCTAGTGACAGATGATTTGGAAAAAGCTGAAGTACTCAATGGGTTTTTTTGCCTCGGTCTTTACAGACAAGGTCAGCTCCCAGACTGCTGCACTGGGCGGCACAGTATGGGGAGGAGGTGAGCAGCCCTCAGTGGTGAAAGAACAGGTTAAGGACTATTTAGAAAAGCTGGACATGCACAAGTCCATTGGTCTGGATCTAATGCATCCAAGGGTGCTGAGGGAGTTGGCTGATATGATTGCCGAGCCATTGGCCATTATCTTTGAAAACATGTGGTGATCAGGGAGGTCCCGTATGATTGGAAAAAGGCAAACATAGTGCCCATCTTTTAAAAAGGGGAAGAAGGAGAATCTGGGAAACTACAGAGCGGTCAGCCTCATCTCAGTCCCTGGAAAAATCATGGAGCAGGTCCTCAAGGAATCCATTTAGAAGCAGTTGGAGAAGAGGAAGGTGATCAGGAACAGTCAACATGGATTCACCAAGGGCAAGTCATGCCTGACCAACCTGATTGCCTTCTATGATGAGATAACGGGCTCTGTGGATATGGGGAAAGCAGTGGACATGATATATATTGACTTTAGCAAAGCTTTTGATACTCCCACAGTATTCTTGACAGCAAGTTAAAAAAGTATGAATTGGATGAATGGACTATCAGGTGGCTAGAAAGCTGGCTAGATTGTCAGGCTCAACAGGTAGTGATCAACGGCTCGATGTCTAGTTGGCAGCTGGTATCAAGAGGAGTGCCCCAGGGATCTGTTCTAGGGCCGGTTTTGTTCAACATCTTCATTAATGATCTGGGTGATGAGATGGATTGCACCCTCAGCAAGTTTGTGGATGACGCTAAGACGGGAGGAGAGGTAGATATGCTGCAGGGTAGTGATAGGGCCCATGGTGACCTAGGCAAATTGAAGGATTGGGCTAAAAGAAATCTGATGAGCTTCAACAAGAACAAGTGCTGAGTCCTGCACTTAGGATGGAAGAATCCCATGCACTGCTACAGGCTGGGGACCGACTGACTAAGCGGCTGTTCTGCAGAAAAGGACCTGGGGATTACAGTGGACGAGAAGCTGGATATGAGTCAACAGTGTGCCCTTGTTGCCAAGAAGTCTAACGGCATATTGGGCTGCATTAGTAGGAGCACTGGCAGCAGATCGAGGAAAGTGATTATTCCCCTTTATTCGGCACTGGTGAGGCCACATCTGGAGTATTGTGTCCAGTTTTGGGCCCCCCACTACAGAAAGGATATGGGCAAATTGGAGAGAGTCTAGCGGAAGGCAATTAAAATGATTAGGGGACTGGGGCACATGACTTATGAGGAGAGGCTGAAGGAACTGGGTTTATTTAGTCTGCAGAAGAGAGTAGTGAGGGGGGGATTTGATAGCAACCTTCAACTACCTGAAACGGGGTTCCAGAGAGAATGGAGCTCGGCTGTTCTCAGTGGTAGTAATGACAAAACAAGGAGCAATGGTCTCAAGTTGCAGTGGGGGAGGTCTAGGTTGGATATTAGGAATAACTATTTCACTGGGAGGGTGGTGAAGCACTGGAATGGGTTATCTAGGGAGGTGGTGGAATCTCCATCCTTAGAGGTTTTTAAGGCCTAGCTTGACAAAGCCCTGGCTGGGATGATTTAGTTGGGGATTGGTCCTACTTTGAGCAGAGGGTTGGACTAGATGACCTCCTGAGGTCTCTTCCAACCCTAATCTTCTATGATTAATTTCTCTCTAAGTGGTCTCGGTGCCACTAGATGGGACAGAGCACCACACCCAGGAGCTGTGTGGGTTACACAAGCGCTGCCACCTCTCCCAGCGTATAGTCAGAGAGATTAGGGGCCTGCTTTTCAGAGGTGCCAAGCACCCACAATGTGAGCTGGAGTTGTGTGTGGTGGGTCAGCATCTTTGAGAATCAGGCCCCAGGTGACTTGCCTAAAGTCCCAAAGGAAATCTGTGACAGAACACTAAAACTCAGATTTCCCACGCAGGGTTTTATGCTTAAGGCAATCCTTCTTCCAGATTTCAGCTACATCAGTCAGTTTCATTTTCTCTTGGACTCAGCTAATTAGAGTCTATCATATGTGCTTATAAAAAACTTCCTGGCTATTTGGGTTTGGAGGGGTTTCTGTAAGCATGTTGGCAGTGCTGTCTTTCACAAATTGTCCCACCATTTGGCCAGGCTAAATTTAATAAAGTTTCTTGAAGTAATAAATTCATGGAATTCTAAATGTTTATTTATTTATTGTTGTTCACATCTGGAGTCCTTAAGCAGTGCTGAGTTAAATCATATGTCTATTTTTTATTATACTTAACTATGCATTGCAGGCACTTGTGTACACTCAATTTGTAAATGGTAACTTCAGGAGTTTGCCTGGAGGAAAGCCAGAAGTTTGACATAAACAGAAAGATCAATGCTTTCCCTTCTAGCAGCAAACAGACATACCCAGGTAGAAGGGTGGGGGTAGACAGCAAAACAATTTTACGTTTCTCATTAATCATCTGATGTCAAAATATCTTGCCAAGTGAATTTAAATAGACAAAGATAACAGAAACAAAGCAGCAATCCAGTCTGAAATCCCCTGGCTTGCTTGGCCAAAGGAAAGTTTTGGGGTTTCCCCCTCACTATTGCCTATAAAATCATCCTACGTTCAGTATCACTGCTGCTTTAAAGTTTGTAATTAAGATGCAGTAGCAAAAATAAAAGTGGCTTATGTTTTAAAATTTGGGAGTATGCTATAGTCTCTAATTATATTCTCTCACTGAATTTCAGTTTAGGTTACCCTGCCAGAAAGTGCATCTCTAACTCAGTGGGGGTGTAATTTTATTCAAGTCAGTGGAGTTTCATTGGGTATAAACTTGGCCCAGTGTGCTTTGAAAAGAAAATGTGAATCACAGGGATGACTAAGTACAACCCTCTGTCAATGATCTTGTTGCTGAGGAAACTGATAAATGGGGTTTAACAATGGCAACTGGAAGATGATCCTCCTTTAAGATGCTTCATGGGAGTAGACCTCTTACATGTGCTCTGATACACTTCTACCTCGATATAACGCTGTCCTTGGGAGCCAAAAAATCAAACCACGTTATAGGTGAAACCGTGTTATATTGAACTTGCTTTGATCCCCCGGAGCGCTGCTTTACCACTTTATATCCAAATTCGTGTTATATTGGGTCGCGTTATATCGAGGTCGCAGTGTACTTCACATCACAGATGTTTGGTTCTTATTTAAGAAACAAAACATCCCCCCTCAAAATAATATAACTGAGGACTGTTGATATTATCCTAAATGTCAAAATAATCAATGGGCTATAGCCCACTGTTGTTGGTAATAATGGGTTACAATAGGCTGTGCGCATTCAGAGCCTTTACAGGTATTGGGTTTCCCAAAGGCATCCTCTTAGATGGAGATGTCACTTCTCCCAGGTTTCACATATCAAGAGAGTGATGAAGTGTGTTAATCCATTTGCTTACCACTCCTGTACAATCCACAGGTTTAGAACAACAAATGCTAGATAGCAAAACAAAAATAAAATGAGAGATTTGGAAATGGGGTGCTGGAATGGGGGAGCAAGGGCCCCATCACTTTTAAAAGTAGGAGGGCTATGCCACGGTTTGGGTGCCAGTAGCCCCCCACTTTGAGGAAGCTTCTGCTACTCTTGTTTGGAAATATAGACTATAGTGACATGATCCTCAAAGTATTCCTGAACAGAGGAAAATGCTGAGAATTATAAAAGTGCAAAAAGAATTAATAGGAAGATATTCCTTACATAGCTTTACCTGCTTGGCAAACTTGGATTATAGGTAGATGTATTAACTTTGTACTTTTATTGTACCTCTGTAATAAACTTACTTTAACAATTAAGATAGGTCCTAATGACTACCTTAAAAAAGTTTGACCAAATTAAATATCATATATATAATAAAAACAAAGACCCTGATAAACTGAGTAGTTAGCTGATATATTTTGTGTTTCTCCAACACTTTTACTAATGGTGGGTTGCTTTGCTAAGGGTTATTCTGGCATATGATTAAAACATAATCATGTTGGTAATATTTTATTTCAAGCCTGACAACCAAGGAGAACAGAACAAACTGCGAAGAGTTACAAAGGGATCTCACAAAAGTGGATGACTAGGCAACAAAATGGCAGAAGAAATTCAGTGTTGATAAGTGCAAAGTAATGCATATTGGAAAACAATCTCAACTAGACATACAAATGATGGGTCTAAACTAGCTATTACCACTTAAAAAAAGAAATCTTGGAGTCACTGGATAGTTCTCTGAAAACATCTGCTCAATGTGCAGCAGGGGTAAAAAAAAACTAACACAATGTTAGGAACCAATAGGAAAGGGATAGATAAGACAAAGTATCATAATACCACTAAATAAATCTATAGTACACCCACACCTTGAATATGGTGTGCAGTTCTGGTTGCCATCTCAAAAAAGATATATTAGAATTGAAAAAAGTATAGAGAAGAGCAACAAAAATGATTAAAGGTATGGAACAGCTTCCACGTGAGGAGAGATTAAAAAGACAAGGACTGTTCAGCTTGGAAAAGAGACAACAAAGGGGATATGAGAGAGGTCTATAAAATCATGAATGGTGTGGTGAAAGTGAATAGGGAAGTGTTATTTACCCCTTCATATAACAAAAGAACCTGGGGTCAGCCAATGAAATTAACAGGCAGCAGGTTTACAACAAACATAAAGTAGTACTTTTTCACACAACACACAGTTGATCAGTGGAACTTGTTGCTGGGGAATGTTGCGAAGGCCAAAAGTATAACTGGGTTAAAAAAAATTAGATAAGTTCATGGAGGATAGGTCTATCAATCAAGGGACCGACTCCTTGGATGCTCCAGGGCTGGAGCACCCACACAAAAAAGTTAGCAGGTGCTTAGCATCTACTGGCAGGCAGCTCTGCTCCCTCCTCCCCCCCCACTCCTGCCCATTGGCAGCCCCGCTGATCAACTCCTCCTCCTCCCCCCTCCCAACACCTCCTGCATACCGCGATCAGCTGTTTCACAGCATGCAGGAGGCGCCGGAAGAGGGAGGAGCAAGGACAGGGCACGCTCAGGGGAGGGAACAACTGGGTGGGAAGGAGTGGGGCAGCGCAGCGCTTGGAGTGGAGGCAGGAAGGGATGGGGTGGGGGCAGGGCCTCAGGCAGAGCCAGGGGGGTTGAGCACCCCCCAGGCCCATAGGAAGCCAACTCCTATGCCATCAATGGCTATTAGCCAAGATGGTCAGGGATGCAACCCCATGCTCTGGGTGTCCCTAAACCTCTGACTGCCAGAAGCTGGGACTGGATGACATGGGATGGATCATTTCATAATTGCCCTGTTCTGTTCATTCTCTCTGAAGCATCTGGCACTGGCCCTTGTCGCAAGACAGGATACTGGACTAGAAGGACCATTAGTCTGACTCAGTATGGCCATTAATTTGTTCTTAAGGTCAAGGAGAAAATGTATAAATCTCTATTAAAGCAAAGGGTTGATCAAAGGAAAACAAACTACAGCAGATGATCCATTCTAAAAAAAATGGGGTGGGAGGAGGAGCAGCTCTTGAGCTTGGAGTAGGGAACAAAATTAGGATCACAGTAGTGAGAATGGGGTTATGTCGAAGATGCACTCCATCATGCATAATTCCAAATGTTCTTTATTGGATCAATTTCAACTTGGCTGGGAGGGATCTGTAGAAATAATTAGCATGTAGATGATAAAATAGTGGCATCTCACTGTAAGTCTTTCTGGAAAAATTAGAGGATTTACCAAAAAATCCTCATCTGTTTCAAGGATACTCACGATTATTTCTTTGGTGCCTTTTTGAAAATCTCTCATTGGATCTGATCTAATGCTATAAATTCAAGAGCCAATGTTTGGTGGTTAGTGATAATTTTGGAGGGAAAATGAGCCGGTAACTAGAAATTAGATTATGATCTTTCAAGCAATCTCCACCTGATTTTTTTTAAAAAATATTTGTTTAGGACATTTTAACAGGTTTACAAATCCTTGCCAAGTATGTATCAGGGACAACACAATAATTATAACAGTGAGCTTTTGTTTAGAGAAACATACTGTAATACATAATCAACAGCTCTCGCTATTCAATGGGGTGTTACCACACTACAGAATGAGCATCTTTATACTACGTGACATGCTGTTTCTCTGTACCCAATTATTACACATCAAAATGGAACTACATAGTCTAGTAAGCCAATGGTCAGCAACTTGGCTAAGAATAACAGAAGGGTAGAAAATTAACATTTGCTAAAGTCATTCTACTACTCCCACTGTGCAATTCATCAACTTGAATAGGTTTCAGCTGGAGATGGTATAATTGTACTTCTGTTTTTTCAAGTTTTCAGATTTTTCAAAGAACTCCAATAGCCTAATTTTTTTTCTGGGCACGAGAGTTGGTGGTGAATGCTGAATTTCCTTTTAAATTATGATGTCTTTTAGCCTAAAGTAGTAGGGGTACAGTGACGTGATTGTATCCCTGCCTGGGATGCCCTTTTTTTCTAATGGGGTCTAACAGCAGTTTTATCCTTTCCGTTAACTTCTGAAATGCAGTTTTGCTTGCTTTTCTTGAGTGCAAGCTCCACTGTCTGTAGCTGGAACTTGATTAGCACAGCTGTGCTCCTTTCTATTGGAATAACAATGTGGTTTTCTTCCCTACACACTGTCAATGATCCATGAATCCATTCCTTCTATTTCAGTGCCTCTGTTCTTGTAGTTGATTTGTAGGTAACCAATCTACCTATTCAAAGAGTGACTCCAAATACATGAGTTAGAAGGGGGGAGCTGCTTATAGGATGAGGTTGTCTGTATGATACAAATTAATATGTCTGATCAGTGCCACCCACTATAAACTGTTTAAGACTAGTGTCCAGAAACTTCGGTGAGAGTAGGCAAGTCTCTCGCAGCCATACTATAAGCTTTCACCATTATGTACTTACTGACAGAATTAGTAACAGAGGAGGATGCTTTGGTGACACTTATGTAAAATGTTGGACTTCCCATAGTTTGTGACTAAGAGGAGAGACTGATATTTAGATTGGGATTTTGTTGCAATATTGGGTCATGGGTTGACATAAGAACAGCTATACCAGGTCAGACCAATGGTCCATCTAGTCCAGTATCCTGTCTTCTGACAGTGCCCAATGCCAGGTGCTTCAGAGGGAATGAACAGAACAGGTAATCCTCAAGGGATCCATCCCCTATTGTCCATTTCCAGCATCTGGCAAACAGAGGATAGGAACATTTCTAATAGCCATTGATGGACTTATCTTCCATTAACTTATCTAGTGTTTTGGTTTTTTTTTGAACCCTGTTATAGTCTTGGCCTTCACAACATCCTCTGGCAAAGAGTTCCAGAGGTTGACTGTGCGTTTTGTGAAGAAATACTTCCTTTTTCCATTGATATTACTGTAATATTTTATTTTTTAGGATAAATGGGTGTGCATGACCTTTACCTGAACTAAAGCAGTTCCATGTCTTGTTTGGTAAGTCTACATTTAATTTCATGAAATAAACTTCTGGTGAAATTTCTTGCTATTTGCTGAAAACTCCATTCAAGGGATTCTAGCAGTAAACAATAACGAATTCCTAATGTAGATGCTAGCAAAGGGTTCAGGAGAGTGTGAGTTTCTCTTCTAGCACCACAGAATAGTTCAGAGAGCTGATTAGCCTGTTGGTTCTCACTCTTATTAGAGTGGGGCTCATTAATATTAAAATTAAATTAAGAAAAGCCTTAAACAGCTTTGGAATTTTATACAATGTATTCCTCCACTATGAAAGGAAGGTCCTAGTAGAAGAGAAAAATGGCATGGAAGAGGGCAAGTGCATTGGGCCCTTAAGTGCTACTGTTCTCAGGGGGACTCTTCCACCCTCTCTGTTCCTGGTTTACTTATGTCAAGAGACTATCCGACACAGTGGATCCAAACTGTGGGGCATGGAAGAACGTTGCGGGGTTGTGGCGGAGCCCAGGCCAGTCCTCCCGGGGAGTGGGGAAGGAGTGCCACCCAGCCTCGCTCTGCCCTCAGCTCCGCTCCCGGCCCCAACCGCAGTCCCAGCTGCAGCTCTGGCTCCAAGTGGGGCCCTGCCTTGGCTCTCCACCGTGGCTCTGGCCCCTCTCCTAGCCCCGGCTCCTGGGGCGGGGAAAACCAGGTAAGAGGGGGAGCATAAGCAAAAAAGTTTGGGGACCACTGCACTAAAATGTGCATAAGGATTATTTTTGATGAGGCCCTGGATAATTGGAACATAGCTTTGGGTAATGTCTCCTTTCCCCCCTCCCCCGGTAATACTCTATTGATTACAGTACGTCCATTGCAGTTCACTTACTGATACAGTACTATGTATTTCAAGGATTGTTCCTGTGTTCTGCGGACAACAGTTGAATCAATCAGACAAGAAAAGCAATCAGAAAATAGCATCCATCAATACTTGGTAAGAAGAAATCCAAATTGATTTAAGAGTTAACCTGCAAAATTAAATGGAAAAATGTAAGGCTGAGAAATATCAAGCACTGTACTACAGAAATTTCCAAAGATTAAGCTTACTATTGCAATGTTAACTTGGCAAGGTTGTGGGTAGAATATGTAGTATTTTCTATTCAAATTTTTCTTACATTTAAACCTGAATGCATTACTCTTCAATCTCTACTAGAAAAATTCTGAATGGACAATGTCGCCAAGTCTCATACTGTGATAGAAAAAAATGGTTACTCACTGTCTCATAACTGTTGTTCATGTCCATTCCAATCAGGTGTGTACGCGCGTATGTGCACGGTAGCCAGAAGATTTTCCAATATCAGTATCTGTCAGGTCAGTCTGGGCGCCCCTTGGAGTCGCGCCTTTATGGCACTCAATATAGAGCCCTGCCGACCCGCCACCCCCTCAGTTCCTTCTTGCCGCCTACTCCGACAGAGGGATAGAAGGGTGGGTATTGGAATGGACATGAACAACACATCTCGAAGAACAACAGTTACGACAAAATGAGTAACCTTTTTTCTTCTTCGAGTGCTTGTTCATTCCAATCAGGTGACTCACAAGCCCAGATTCAGGAGGTGGGGTCAGAGTCATCCACTGATTGGAGCACCGCTCTTCCAAAGACTGCATTGTCTCTGGCCTGCTGGGTGATAGTGTAGTGTGCGGTGAAAGTGTGTATGGAGGACCACATCGTTGCTCTGCAGGTTTTCTGAGTGGGATCCTGCTCCCAGAATGCCGTTGAAGAGGCCTGAGCCCTGGTGGAGTGATCGAAGGAGCAGGCACCCCTGCCAGGTTGTAGCACTCCCGGATGCAGGATGTGATCCACAACAAAATCCGTTGAGAAGAGGCAGGAAGACCTTTCATTCCGTCTGCCACTGCTATGAATAACTGCACCGAGTTTTGGAATAGTTTCGTTCTCTCGATGTAGAAGGCTAGCACTCTGCGGACATCCAATGAGTTAAGTCTTTGCTCCCTGCCGCTTGAATACGACTTAGGATAGAACATCGGGATGAAGATGTCCTGGTTGATGTGAAACTGGGAGACAGCCTTTGGGAGGAAAGCCGGGTGAGGTCTGAGGTGGACCTTGTCCTTATGGAACACAGCGTAAACGGGCTTTGAAGTCAGGGCCTTGAGCTTAGACACCCTTGAGCTCAGATAACCAGAGGTCATTGTTACCAGAAACGCTACCTTGTATGAGAGATGGAGCAGGGAGCATGTCATCAAAGGTTCAAAGGGCAGTCCCATGATTCTGGAAAGGACCAGGACAGGCTGGGACAGGCTGCTGGACATGCAGGTATAGCCTGTCGAGCCCTTTAAGGAAACGGCTGAAACGGCTGACCTTAGGGTTGGCAAAGACCAAGCGGCCCTCTGCACCTGTATGAAAGGCAGAGATGGCAGCAAAGTGAACCCTTTTTGATGACATGGACAGTCCCTGCTTCTTGAGATGGAGGAGATAGTCTAATATAAGTGGCACAGAGGCAAGCGTCGGGAATGAATGATGTTGTGCTGACCAGATTGAAAATCTCTTCCATTTAGCCAGGTAGGTAGCCCTGGTGGAGGACTTGCCTAACTGAGTCTGAGTAGGAAAACTCCATTGGTTTCAGCCATGGAGCTTCCATGCCGTGATGTGCAGCAACTCTAGGTTCGAATGTTGGAGACGGCCGTGATCCTTAGTTAGTAAGTCCGGGAAGAGCGGCAAGGTGACTCGCGCTTCCATGGACATTTCCAGGAGTGATATGTACCAGTGTTGGCGGGGCCAGGCTGGAGCTATCAGAATCACCAAAGCTTCTTCCCTTTGTATCTTGAGCACCTTGTGAATGAGAGGGATGGATGGGAATGTGTACAGGAGACGGCCTTCCCATGGAGCAGGTACGCATCCGCAATGGAGCCTGTGCTGTGATTCAGGAAGGAGCAAAACTGCTGACACTTCCTGTTGTGTCACATGGCACACAGGTCTACCTGGGGAAAACCCCACTGATGGAAGATTGAGTTCACGATGTCCGGGCGAAGGAACCATTCGTGGCCGTGGGACAACCTGATGAGATGGTCCACCAACTCGTTCTGTACTCCAGGGAGGTACGATGCTTGCAGGTGTATTGAGTGATCTGTACAAAAGTCCCACAGCGTGATAGCTTCCTGGTACAGTGGAGAGGACATGCACCCTCGTTTGTTGATATAAAACATTGCCGTGGTGTTGTCTGTCATCACTGATACACATCTCCCTGCTAGGTGTGCTTGGAAAGTCTGGCATGCCAGGCGCACCGCTCTCAGTTCTCTGACATTGATGTGGAGAGCGAGATCCGCCTGAGACCAGAGGCTGTGTGTTCTGACGTCTCCCAAATGTGCCCCCAAGCCCAAGTCTGACACATCCGTCGCTAGCGAGAGGGATGGCTGAGGGCTGGTGAAAGGGACCCCTGCACATACTACCTGCGGGTTGAGCCACCACAGGAGGGAGTTGAGTATTGGGCGAGGCAGGGTTACAATTCTGTCCAAACTGTCCCTGCCTGGCCGATATACTGACACCAGCCATAACTGAAGTGGTCAAAGTCTGAGTTTGGCATGCTATACTGCGTAGGTACAGGCTGCCATGTGTCCTAGAAGTTTCAGGCAGTACCATGCTGTGGTGGTGGGGATCTGTCTGAGACCTCGAATAATGTCACCCATGGCTCGAAATCTCACTTCTGGAAGGAATGCCCTGGCATATGTTGAGTCCAGTACCACCTCTACAAATTCTACCCTCTGAACCAGGGACAGCGTTGATTTACCCTCATTCAGGCTCAGTTTGTCAAAAGAAGCTTTTATGAGGGCGACTTGTATCTCTACTTGAGTTCTGGATCGGCCCTTGATCAGCCAGTCATTGAGGTATGGGAACACCTGTACCTGTCGCCTGCGCAGGAACGCAACTACGACTGCCATGCACTTGGTGAATACTCGAGGTGCCGCTGACAGGCCGAACAGGAGGACTGAACTGGTAGCGGGTGTTGTTCACCACAAACCTGAGGTATTTTCTATGGGACTGAGTTATCGTTATGTGAAAGTATGCGTTCTTCAAGTCAAGGGCGGCATACCAGTCTCCTGGATCCAGTGAAGGGATGATGGAGGCCAAAAAGACCATGTGGAACTTGAGCTTCTTCATGAACTTGTTGTTCACCTGAAGCCCCTGATTCAGGCAAACTGACAAAAATACACAATGCAATTGTGATATTAGGAAACACCCCAGAGAGTCCAAGTTCGAGTATTTCTTGAAGCAATTCCTTTGGCTTGCAATCCAATTTAAAGTTTGTAGAATACATTCGTTTGAGGAAGATGACCTCGTCACTGAGCTCTTTTGAGATTTCTTTGTTGTACTGTTGCTGAAATTGTTCAGCTGCAGAAAGTAGATCTTCATTACTCAGGCTATTGAACTGCCAAAGAAACCCCAAAAGGGTACAAATTAATCACAGTGACTCAAATCGACATGTAAGACCTGATTGAATAGACTCAATGGTGACAAGGAAGATATTGACCCTATAATGCTGCTCGGCATCGGATTCAGTAGGTAAGTTGTGATTGGTGGAGAACTCAGATGAAATGCCAATATTCTGTGCTATTAATTTGGACTCAGTCAGCATCGCATCCCATTGTTCACGAATCTGTTGAATGTCATTGATAAGACTTTTGATGTTATCCCTCTCAACATCAAGTGTAGCATTGCGTGCTTCAATTACCAGATTAGTTTGGTGGATCATTGTAAGTAGCTTCATCCACAAAGATGACATCAGAATGCATTCAAATTTGGACATGTGCTTCTGAATAGCCTGAAGTTCAGTTTGAGCCTGTGCAGTGAGATTGAGAGATTCAAGCTCCTTTAAAGCCTTTCCTACTGAATTCAAATGCTGCGCAACTGGTTGAACACCATCGATCTGTGCAGGCAATCTAATTTTGGACATCCCATGCTGTGAAACAGGAAGATATTGCTTCAGAATTTCCCACCTTTGTGGACTGCTACTGAAGAGATTGTACATTTGCTGAACAGTTCCAAAGTAAGTAATTGCATCCTTGCATGATTCAGCACAGTCAACACCTACAAGGCTTAGGTGTGATTTCCACAGCTGGAGAAAAAAGTTTGAATTATGCTCAAGCAGAACTGTTTCTACACCTTTGTACTTCCCAGCCATATTAGATCCATTGTCTTAGGCTTGACCAAGGCAGACTTGAAAATCTAACTTAAAACCTTCTAGAATTGCTAGTACTTGAGCAGCAATTTCTTTTCCAGTTTTGCTCGTGAAATTAACAAAATAAACCTTTCTCCAGTTGAAAATTTTGAGCTGTCTACAATCTTAACATATCAAATAACCATAGTAGTCTGTTCCTTGTGAGAACAATCTGGAGTGGCATCAACAATGATTGAAAAATACTTGGCATTTCAAATCTCATCAAGAATTGTTGTTTGTACGAATGACCCACATAGCTCAATAAACTCGTTTTGTATGTGCGTGGAGAGATAATGGACTTGCATGCGCTTTTGACTCTCTTGCAATTCTCGAACACGTTTAACATGTTCTGATAAAAGTGGGTTATATTTGCTGAGGAGCTCAACTATGCCTAGAAAGTTTCCATTTGCACGATCACCAATACATTGACTGGAACCAAAAAAGCCAATCCCCGCTCAGAAAGAAAAAGGATGGCATTCAGGATGCACTCAAGAAGTTTTTTCCAGTTATTAGTTTTGGTAGAGAGTTCAGTCAAGAGTAAATTCTCACTGAACTTTCAGCTGATGCTGCCCTACTGGCTGATTTCCATGCAACATAGTTTTCTTTGTGTGACGTTGAACTCTCATGTAAAGGTATTCAGTCTTTCAACTTCCTCCAACCTCTGTTGATGCTCCATCCTGATTGATCAGAGAGAACTAATGCATTTGCAGCGCTTTTGTTCAAAATGAAGCAGGGTGAACAGTACAGAGATTGTTTCTCCATACTCCAGCATAACCAGTCTCTTGTGCAGGTCTCACCATTTGGAAGAGTTTTTGTCAGCAGACGAATAGGGAAAGCATGATTATCAGCATCTCGTGGAATGTTACTTGGAATTTCAAAACAACTAATTTGAAGAAAAGATTGCATTTGAGCAGCATTGCTCTTGTCACTAATTCCAATGTCAGTTACAGTCAAACCTGTAGTACTCATAAATTGCTCTTGCTGCGCAAGATCTACATCTTCCTGTTGCTGTTGAGTTTCTTGATCATACACAGGATCTTCTGCTGCATCTGGTACTGTTGGCACATCTCCTTCTTGACTACTATCCTCATATTCAGGTATTGGCATTGAAATATCACCTGTTGCAGTTGCGAAGTTTTCATTATCAGTGCTACTGTTTGTTGGGTAAGGTGTGTTTTCCAGTGGTTTGAGAAATGAAGTTATTGGTTTTGAGCTCTTAGCTGCTGCTTCACTCAGGCTAGGTCTACACTACCCGCCTGAATCGGCGGGTAGAAATCGACCTCTTGGGGATCGATTTATCGCATCCCAACGGGACGCAACAATCGATCCCCGAATCGACCCTTTCTCTCCACCAGCGGAGGTGGGAGTAAGCACCGTCGACGGGAAGCCGCAGAGGTCAATTTTGCCGCCGTCCCTACAGCGGGGTAAGTCGGCTGCAATACGTCTAATTCAGTTATGCTATTCGCGTAGCTGAATTTGCGTATCTTAAATCGATCGCCCCCCCCCCCGTAGTGAAGACCTGCCCTCAGTTGTTTTTGCCTCTCTTGCTTGCAGCACTTTCAGAGCTCCTCTTCATAGTGATCTATCTGATCGATTTACACCTGAAATGTTCTAAAGTAAATATGTAGCCTACCCACACTTGAAATAGTCTGCTGTAAATAAATAGCCTATCTACACTTGAAATCTTCTACTGTAAACATGTACACAAATGCTGAAAATACTTAAAATGAAGGAATACTAATTAAGAATATAAAATGAAACAGTCAGTCAGGTTATTATCCTTATCACTGAATCAAAACTCAAGCATGCAAGGTATAATATAACAGGCTGACCTGAAGACAAAGGGATGACATATATATATAGTAAACACGGATACAGACAGAGGGATAATGTCCAAAAATTTCAAATGTATGTCCTCACAAATTTTCACCGTGAATCTGGGCCTATAGACAATAAAAGCCTATGATGATGGCCAAGCTACCAAGCTAGGGCTCAACCTCTTTTAGCTACCATATGAAGATAATAATGAGGAATTCTCACACAAATAATTCCTTAGTCAACTAGACGTAAAACTATAAAGACACTGAAATGTAACAATTCTCTGCCTTTCAACACAAACTTGATGCAGCACCAGTCACAAGTAGTGGTTTGTTTATATAATCCGCTGATCTGAGAGGACAATTCTCCCACTGATTGGCCCTGACTGCAGCCTTCATTAACAGGACCTTCAGGCGCTGATCTCTATCCTTTAATGTCCTGGGCCAAAAGGTCTTGCAGATGGCACAACGATCCTTCTGATGACTCTCTCCTAAACACTTCAAACATGAAGTGTGAGGATCGCTTCTGGGCATACACTTGCTGCAGGCCTGGAGATCCCGGCATGCCCTGGCATCGAGAGAGCTTAGGAGGGGAAACCCATGCCCCAAAGGAAACTTAATCTAACACTAAGGGCTACTAACTAGTTAATTAACCTACAGAGCTAATGAAAACTATGTATATAGACTGCTAAATATGCTTGCCGAGACAAGAGCACAGGGAAGTTCCAGCTAACCATCACTGGAGGCAAGAAGTAACTGAGGGGATGGCGGGTCAGCAGGGCTCTATATTGAGCACCATAAAGGCGCGATTCCAGGGGGCGCCCAGATCGACCCAACGGATGCTGCTATGGGAAAATCTTCCGGCTACTGTGCACGTGCACACCCCTGATTGGAATGGACATGAACAAGCACTCAAAGAACCACCTTAATTTCTTGAATCTCAAAAATTGAGTGCTTGATTTTTTTCTCCCCACACATTTGCACTAGTGTGTATTTATTTATTTATACATACATATACTCACACACACACACACACACACACATACACAAATGTATGTACCAATATTAAAAACTAATCCTTTTACTACTAGGCAGATGAACCTGAGTTATCCTGGATTCATCCATATGGAAGAGATGAAACGGTACTTTGTTCTTCTGACGTCTCCCATTATGAACTCCAGGTGGAAATAGGTATTCTAATTCTATGCTGAAATATGCTTTGTCCATACAAGATTTTTCCTGCAAGTGGCCATTCTTTATATATATTAAAAAAAAATCCCGTGAGGGGAAAAACTAGAAGCTGAGAAAACATGTATTCTCGTTGTTATAGAGCCACCCAAAACTATTTTAAGATCTCTGTAAATGTTTGCACCCTTCTTGACTTCTGATCTTAGCTGATTATTTTTCTAGTGTTGTGAATTTCACTTAATGTTTAAAAAAATACAGTAGAAATTCACAAAGATACACAAAAACCTGCCTGAATTTGAAATCTCTGTTCCAACTAGGAGAAGAGATTTTCTGCTCATCTTGCTGCTAATATTTTTTTTAATAAGTGACCACTCTAAATCGGTTACATTGATTGTAAATATAGTAGAGAGCAAATCAGCATTGCGGTTCTGGTGGCTGTGGCACTTGACAGTTTCTTATCACTCACAGGTGTGGTAGATGGTCCTAAATATGGCTGTACTGCATCACTATGTTTAGAATGAGTGCCAGTGGTGGTAGTTCTTTAAGTTGGACATCAGCAAAGTAGTCAGCATTTGTAAGACACTTTATTGGTCCTGAGAAGTAAGACTTGTTTAAACAATTTTGATTAGACTAAACAGAAGCAACAACCACGACTTGACTAGTTTTCTGGCTGATGTTACATGTAAGCATGCACTGTTAACTGCACGCTTAAAGCCATAGATTCACTGCAGTCAGCAGCAGTCTGTTAGAATTCTAGGACTGTTTGACTACTTAGTGCTGAAGTAATGTTGTGGGTTCTTTTTAAAGCTACCTTTTATAATGTTAATGAAAGACAGTTGGCTTGCTTCTGGTTACAGGAAGAGGATTCAACAATTTAACTTCAATCTACCTTGCCCGACACACACCTACAGGAACGCTTGTGGCTGTAAGGATCACAGACTTAGAAAGCTGCTCTGAAGAACATTTGAAAGCTTTACAGGTAAAACAGTGGGACTTATATAGATGTCTGACACAGAAACTATAATGTATGTGAGTATATGCAGTTAACCAGTACCAGAGACAGCTGTGTTATATGAACTGGTGCAAACTAAATTAAGTGGCTTCTTGATAAGGTACTAGAGAATAAACTGAAGTCTTCTGCCATACAACAATTTCTAATCATGCAGGAATCCCAGTTTGAAACACAAACTCTATACTCTTCACTAGAATAAGGGGCTCAGAATTAATAACAAACAAACAGCAGTTCAGATAGACATTGAAAGCTTCAACAATTTGTTTGAATTTCCATTGCAGGATGTGCAAAGCTTGTTAGCTAGTAGAACTGCATTTACAAAATTGACTTTTTTAAAGTTACTGAGGACCTGTGTAGTTAAGGTTTTTGTTAAGATAATTATCTTCCAATAGCTTACTCACTTTTGTTTAATTCTCTAGAATGAAGTGGTGCTATCCCACTTTTTCCAGCACCCCAACATACTGACACTTTGGACAGTGTTCACTACTGGCAGCTGGCTTTGGGTCATCTCTCCGTTCATGGCCTACAGTAAGAATTGTAACTACAACTTGGGAAGAAGCTTACTGAATTAACTCTGGATTAGATAGCTCAGTCCCTAACACCAGGCTTGTGGCAATGGAAGAGCACGAGACAGAGCAATTCTATATTTCCTTTCAGCATCTCTTCTCTTGTAGAGCTTGGATGTGTCCTAGTTCCTCTGTGCCAGACTTGTGAGTTTTGCTTCTCCTAGAAGGCAGTGTGGATTAGCTATAGGGGTGAAACAGCCGGTTTCCAGTTCATGGAAACATGATTTAGGATGTGGTAGGCTTCATTGTGATCTTTTACTACTGGAAGAATCACTTTCTTTCAGTGATATACTCTGAGGTGACTTTCTTCCTCAGCAGTTGCCTCCCTGTATAAGTCATTGTAAAGAGAGAACAATGTTTCTTTTAGGGGGTACATGAACAGTGGAGAGAGTGCTGTGTTATAGTAGGAATAAAGATTTATCACTAACACCACCTGCATGCTTAGCGTGATTTTTCTTTTCTTTTCAGATTCAGCTAGTCACCTACTGAGGACTTACTTCCCTGAAGGAATGAGTGAAGCTTTGATAGGAAACATTCTGTTTGGTGCAGTTCGAGGGTTAAATTATATGCACCAAAATGGCTACATTCACAGGTATGAGACAATTAATACCATAGGTAAGAAGTTATAGCAACACACAAGCTTCCAAACTGAAGCTACTCATTAGTCTATTCAGTTTACCAGAAGCCTATGCCTGATTGCTTTAGAGGAAAGTGAGTTCCCTTTCAACACCCATTTCTCTTGTTACTCACAAATTGTTCAGTGCTGTGGAGTAGACACACGTCCTTCTCGGAGCATTTTCTTGGTTTGATACCCTCCAGGCTCTCTGGCATAGCTAGGTTAGCTGAAGATACTACTTCTGTTCCTATAAAATGTCTAATCACTTTTGAGCCTTCCTGCCACATTGACTTTCTGCAGCAGTACATTGCAGAGGTTGAACTATAATGCTTTGTAAATAACTTCCCTTTATCTATTCTAAATGTGTTGCTATTCAATTTAATTGTTCTTTTACGGGGGGGGGGCTGGATGAATGGGAGAACTTGCTTGGTCATCTTTTACTGTTTATACAGTGCTTTGGAGATGTAAAGCACTCTAAGTTTTCAGTAGTGTTATGGAGTTTGTTGATAAATTGTATAATCAGTTGCTTGACCACACTTTTGTTTGTTATGAAATATAATCAAGAGTCCAAATAACGATTGTCAGGTTTATTAATATGGAAAATATGTTCTATACAATGCCAGTCTCCAAAGGACAGTCCTGTGCAGCAATATTACACATTCACCTTACACAGAAGGTGTGCTCCCAAAAGTTACATCCCTGAAGTCATCTTTTTATAACTTACTTGTTTACCAGAAAAAGGAACTGTATACTTCACCTGCAACTGTATTGAATTAATCAGCTTTTTATCTTGTTTGTTTCTGGTACCATGGTGAACCCTGTTATCTCTTGTTCTGAACCCATGCATTCCAGGTACTAAAGAGTGTAAAGACACCTCCTAGGCTTGTAGCAGGATAAATAGGTCTGTGAGGGTAACTCCCTTTCTGTTGCTATGACAAAACAATTAAATGTCCAGATACTGACAGTTTTCCTATCTTTGTAAGCCAAAGTTTACTTCAGCTAATGCAAGCTATTATGGAATACTTAGCATAAGTGAACAGAATTATAATAAAGGTACAGGCCAATTTGGGCTATATAACTGCTATTTTAATGCTTAATATTATGTATACTGAAATGCTTGGAACATATATTGTGGATAGTATTATCAACATAATATATATGTATGCTAGCTAGTTATATTAGTCAACAGGTTGCAGCATTGACTTCCTAGTTATGGTTATAACAGGTTTCTAATCTTAAAAAAAAAAACACTTGAAACCTAATTCCAGTTTCCTAAAAAGCTTCACTTGTTCAAACTTTTCATATGGCCTCTAATAAGAGGAGGATTCATGGTGAAAGCATTTTTGAGCTATGGAACTCCAAAAAGATTGTTCACTTTTCCCAAAGACTTCTAAAAAGCCTGAACTTCTCTTAACATTTTATTTTTAAAAGTAACAGCTTTGTCCAGAAGCTCCACATTTGTCTTATACTAGTTCTGACTATTTAATATCAGACTTCATGGTTTATAGTGGAAGACAAGTTTCCAACACAAATTCTTACCTCCAAGAACAGTCTGGTCTTAAGCAAACTTCTTGTTGGTTCTTTAACTTGAAGCTTCTATCAAATTGTGAATTTACCAGAAATTTGAAGTGGCACAATGATGCTGCTTCAAAACTGGAAATATGTTTACCATAAACTAAAAATAGGGCCTTATTAGGAAGTTACAGATTTAAAAATAAGGCAAGTCTTGAAATGCATAGTGTGACAAAGTTCCTCCTCTATCTTGGTGGGTTATTGGCGGATTTGCTTGCCTCAGAGATTCACCATGTGGGTTGTGGAACAGCCCAGAAATCATCCCCTCTGGTAGAACCCACAGTCCAGGTCAATTGGGAGGTTTGGGGGGAATTTGGTCCCGCCCTCTACTCCAGGTTCCAGCCCAGGGCCCTGTGGACTGCAGCTGTCTAGAGTGCCTCCTGGAACAGCTGCACAACAGCTACAACTCCCTGGGCTACTTCCCCATGGCCTCCTCCCAACACCTTCTTTAGCCTCACCACAGGACTTTCCTCCTGATGTCTGTTAATGCTTGTATTCCTCAGTCCTCCAGCAGCACGTCCTCTCACTCCCAGCTCCTTACGCACACACCTCACTAACTGGAGTGAGAGCCTTTTTATACCGGGTGTCCTGATGAGCCAGTCTGTCCTAATTGATTCTAGCAGCTTCTTCTTAATTGGCTCCAGGTGTCCTAATTAGCCTGCCTGCCTTAACTGGTTCCAGCAAGTTCCTGCTTGTTCTGGAACTGCCCCTGTTACCTTATCCAGGGAAAAGGGATCTACTTAATCTGGGACTAATATATCTGCCTTCTATCATTCTTCTGTAGCCATCTGGCCTGACCCTGTCACATAAGGAATAATTCGAACACAAACCTTAATTTGGACTTCATCTCCTTGTTCACCTCAGCCTGTAGACCAGACACTTTATATTTTTGCCCACCCTTTACATATCCAACATCCATTCTTCCGTATCTATTCCCTTATACAGTGTTCACTGTATCTGACATGCAAATCACTGAACACTAGCTAAAGACCCAACCCTGCTCTAGAGATAACAGCATCTTATATCTTAACTCTGGAATAGAGTTCAGAGAATGTCTCCTTCCCCATCCCCCCAAATCCATTATAAGGTGGAATAATTGGTTTGACCTCCTCTCTATGCAGATGCCCCAATATATATACCTCATTTTTTCTTGTATAACTCTGTGGATGCACCTTTACCCCCATTCACTGTACTCGTTGACTGCAGGTGCCAGAGTGCCATATTCACTGATACAGACAGAGGACCTATGTATACTTTACATACCTGCTGGCTTGACTATCTCCTCCATTAGGGAGTATTTGACTACAAATAAAACTGACTATTGGGGAGAATTTAATTTGTTGTATTATAATACCTGTATGCCAGTGTATGTGAATGCTAGTGGAGACATAGTTATGGTGGCAGGCAGAACCTTAGCTTTGATATCTACCTTTTCAAATAGTGTTTCAAAACTCTTTCAGTGAGGCACCGTGGGGGGGGTGTACTCAAAAAAAAATTTTGTTTGGGGGCGGGGATTTTATATACAGGAAAATGTCCAATTTTTACAATGAACACCATATAAAGGCTTCAGATTGCAAAGTCAGGGTTTTTTAACCATGCATTTTGGATAAGAGATTGTGTTTATACAGTTTCTCTTCACCCATCTTTAACATGCGTCTCAGTCGGCTATAGCATGATGACGTGGTCAGTCTATCTCAGAAATAGTTTATAAATATATGGCAGGCTTTCTACTGTAGTAATAAGTAACATTCATTTGAGTGATTTTTTTTTTATAACTACATTTTATCACTTTGTTTCAGGAATATGAAAGCTAGCCACATTCTTATTTCACGGGATGGTCTGGTTTCTCTGTCTGGCTTAAACCATCTCTACAGTTTAGTTAACAATGGACAGAGGTCAAAGGTTGTGTATGATTTTCCCCATTTTAGTACTTCAGTACTTCCTTGGCTGAGTCCTGAGCTACTGAGACAGGTCAGTATAAACCAGTTAATTTTGCCTTGAGTCTCTGGATATGGCCTTTTCCTTTTTTTAAAGTTTGTACTTAGTAGGCTTGTGAAAGAGTCATAAAGGCTATTCATTTCAACTTCCAAACTAGATTGTTTAGGAATCTTAAAATAAATTGTGGCTTTATGGTGGACCCACGTAGCTTAATGTTTTTACCTCTTGCCTGTTTGTAACAAAGGTTCTAAAGGACGTGATCCTAATGAACACATTTTTTTCCCATGGAAACCTGAAAATAATTGCATTGACTTAACTCTCTCTTCTGTATAAATATCAACTGTGAAATCTATTAACCAGAGCTGTGTGCATTAAATCATTCTTACACTCAGAGGGCCCAATCTTATATGAGCAGCTCACCCACAACTTGTTGGCTATGGAATATTAGGATTGGGTCCTGAAACTGTATTATATCTACAGTATATTTGCATATGCATATTTTTGCAGTACATATTCAGTAGTTCCCAGTGTGTTGATATAATGATTTTTCTCTCCCACAGGATTTGTATGGGTATAATGTGAAGTCTGACATTTACAGTGTGGGGATAACAGCATGTGAATTAGCCAATGGATATGTACCATTTCAGGATATACCTCGTGCAAAGGTAAAACATTAAATACTCCTAAATCCTTCTCAAAACTTCATTCACAGGACTATTTTTCTCTTACAGATACTGTTTAATAATAAAGTTACTACGAAATATATTAAAGGGTGGCTACTTTTTTTTTTTTTTTTTAAATTTTAAAACATACATGCTG